GACTGTAAACTTAACCCGATAGCGAGAGTTTGAAATTATTCGATAACGAGAGCGGGAGCACTTAGTGCACCCGGGCCATCTAGAACAATTTTTATCAAAAAAAGGACAAAAATGCTTGTTTTCCTGGTCTGTAAGACTGGGTTTTCGTCGGAATTTTGAAAAATGCGTGGTCTAGAACTCCTGAGAACTCTTTTTCGTGAGGAAAAACCCGAATAGAACGCGCGTTCTCTTGATGACCGTTACGTAATATCGAGTTCTCGAGACGAATTTCCGATAATTTGCTCCTTTTTTGTAAATAAAAGGGATTAAATAGAAAGTATGAAAATTTCTTGAAGTCAAACTAAGTGCGGAAAAGCTGCTAGAATCTAAGTTTTTTCGAATTTTTGGATTATCTTCAAAATAGAAGAAATTCATAATGCAACAACTAGCTCTGGGAGCACTTAGTGCTCCCGCTCTCGTTATCGGGTTAACAAAAAAAAATATACCATAATATAATTAAAAATCGGGACAATATAAATTTTTACATCAGATGGAGGTGGGATTGGGGACGAAATTGAGAATGATCAACTCAGTGTTTTCCCAGCCTTTGTCAAGCCCCTTAAATTTTAATCGCTTCTCTGCCATCAAAATTAAAAAAAAATTTATATTCGATGAATGAAAATCTTGGCCAAATCCTGACCCCCATGTTCCTTACGTTTCTATAATATAGGAGTTTATTGCAGTTTGCTGAACGTTTTCGGTCGGACGACCATCAGAGCTTGTTCCTTGATAAACTTGAAAAATCTTAAACGAAAGCGTACCTTTTTTCGTAAGACTGCAGAACTGATTTAAAAACAAAAATAACTTTGTCCCAGAGTAATATTCTAGAAAATATGGTGGTAACTTTTTAAGGTAATCGATATTTTATCAGAGGCTCCTTACTAGGCTCGAAAATGCCTCTGATCGGTAAAACAATTAATAATACTTAATTCTTAACATTAAGCAGTCCTTTCAGGACTGAGAATTCAAAGTAAGATTATATAAACTTGTTGATGTTGAATTTGCTTGTTCAACGGAGGATTATGAAGACGAATTTCTAAAGCTTCCATTTGTACTCTCTTTTTGTATGCTAGATTTCGGTGTAAAACTGAAAACATTTTACTGAGATAGTCAAATCTAGATTTAAAATTATTCTGCTCGTATTCATCATTGAATCGAGTTTGAAAAATTTCACAATTTTCAGTATGAGAGAAAATTGCTGTTTGTTTCGACCTTTGTTGATGGTCAATAATTCTAGATTTTAGGCATTCACTTTCACCGATGTAAACTGCGCCGCAGTGACATTCAAATCGGTAAACAGCATTTACAGCCATATTATTATCAATCTTAGGCAACAGATTGGCAACAATTAAATTACGAATAGATACTGTCCTCAATGCCGTGTGCAGATTATAGGGAGGGAGAAAGGTTGAAATCGTTATTCGCATTTCACTGGTTATTTTACTGACTCGTTGAGAAGTGAATGGAATGCACATAGTAAAATTTCTTTCAGGAAACTCGCTTTTTTCGAGTTTCCAATCTTTCTTCTCAATTTTACCTTCTTTAATCACTCTAGTTGTATCACGGATAATTTCTAAAGGGTGACCTTGGGCATGATATTTCTCCTCAATTTTTTTTCGCTCTTCCTCCAGAGTTTTAGGATCCGAGTGTTTGAAAAGTGATCTTTTCAGTTAAGAAATCAAGACCCCTTTTTTCATGGATGTCGGAGCAACATCAATTTCAAAATTCATTGGGATAGTGTGTTTTCTATTGTTTCGTATTGCAATCATTTTAATTTACAACATTACATTAGTCTAAAAATTTAATACCCTGCGGGCATGATTTTTCAACGGTAACTTTAATTTGAGGATGAAGGTTTTGGATGATTGATATGATTGACCTGTTCAAATGAATTACGTTTGAAAAAAACAAAAGTATCGTCTTGAAATCGCCGGTATCCCAAAATTATTTTTTGATCAATTAATTTTTGATTTTTTTCTTTCTCCAAAATATAAAGAAAGAAATCAGCCAAAATAGGTGAGCTCGAGTCTCCCATAGCTAAACCACTAACTTGCTTATATGTTTTGTCAAAACATCTAAAGGATGTCAATCTTTGTAAAACTGATTTAAGAACAGGCTTCAAAATTGTTTTTGGAATTGGTCGCAAAAGCTTATCATTAGAATCTCTAAATCAAGGCAAAATTTTGGTCGGTGAATTATCAATATAAATATACTTTATCAAAAATTCAATAAGATCGTCTGTACAAACATTCGGATAAAGCTTTGAGACATCAAATAAACAATAATCAATTTCATTAAAATCAAATTTTTGTGATTGAATCCAACTCGAGAATTCTTGAGAGCTGCGGAGAGAAAATTTAGTGTTTATATTTTTTAATAATTTTGATAAAAAATTTCGGTGAAAATTTTCTGTGATCGAGTTTCGAGCACTTATGATAGGCCCCATGTTTTTTTCTTCGTCGAAAGAAGATTTATGAACTTTTGCCAAGCCATACGCTACTTTAATATTCATTATTGGTAGGGATTCTCACGGAGATTCAAAGTTGGGTCTTTTTTCTTGAAAATAAGCTCTTTATATCAGATTTTGACGCTGATTCTGAATCCGCAATAAAAATCAAGATTGGAGCAACGCGTGGTGGTGCAAGCGTGGAGGCGCGCGCGCCTCAGGAGCGCTTGGAGTAAATCATTTAAATCAATGCTTTTTGATGAAATTTTATATCCCTAGGTTTTTTTATATGCTGATTAATTATTTATTACTTATTTTATCCGTTCAAACAGTAAAAAACAGTGAATAAATTAATTTGTTGAAAGCTTCTTTTTTGAAAGACGAGTCGGGCGAGCTGGAGTAGAGATCTCCAATTTCGGCTTCTTTGCTTTTCCTTCTTCTTTGATTTTCTTGCGTTCAGCCTTGATCTTCTTCACTTCTTCTCTTTTCCTTTTGATGTCTTCTCGCTTCTTACGAAATTGTTGATCATTTCATTCAGTATTGACTAAAGTCCTTTTCGACAGAGGAAAAGAGAGATTTCTTACTGTAACTCTTACACTTTTCTAGCGTAAAAACGACCTCGTTGTCTTAGACTTGACCCCTCTCATTTTGTTTTCATAGAAAGTTGCCCCTAGCTGCCCGTATTCTTGGATTGTTGTTCCACAATTGGGAACGAAATGGTAGTCGTAGCAACAAAATGATGATACAGATATATAGGAAACGGTCTGGGCACACGAGCGCCCAGTAGTAGACTAGTACAGTCACTCGCACCAAAAAATTGATAAAGAGAGAAAATGTTTTTTTCTGTTGAAATATTTCAAAGTATGTTTAGGAAAGAGTAAAGCCCTGGGGTCGATTTTGACCTGCTTCGAGGGGAGTGCTTATTTTTAATTTTATTTGAGAAAGGAATTTGTTATCTACGAGACAAGATAAACAAGAATGGCAGCTCGTCAGGAATTTATCTGTTTCTGTGACGGGTTTTATCATCCCCAGTTTGTCTCAACAGCGTCTCCAAGAGAGGATAAAAATGAAACTAGTAACATACTCAGCTCAGAAATGACTGTAGCGGCTAGAGAAAAAGAGAGATTTTTGAGTTTTTGAAACGGTTCTGAGCAAGTTTTGTCTTTGCCCGAGGCGAGTAGTGAATATAATTGGGATATTTTACTCGTTTTTTGTGCCGAAAAATCGTGTCAAAAGGCAAATGCACCTGAACGCCCGTAAATTTAGAACCACCCCGGAAAAGCATGCCATTTTCTATTCTAGCGCTGAATTAGTTTATGACCAATTTCTTACAGCATTTCTTCGTGCTCGCATTTCCGGAATCCTGGCTGCTGCATAGCTAGCGGAAGCGCCAGCCGCTCGTTAGCTGCAATTTTCTAGCCCTCTCGCAGGGCAATAAATTTTTCCAGCCCGCGGATGTCCAGCCCGGCTACCGGCAGTCAGATTTGAGTAAATCAAATACTTTCTTAAAAATTAATTTTTATGAAAAATAGAGCTTCAAAATTTTGAAAGAGAGAATCGGCTTTAGAATTTTGAAATCAAGGAAGAAAATTAGTTTTTTAAAAGATCCAAATCTTCACCTTGACGGTGCAATTTGCCATCTTTATAAATTCAAGAATAGAAGGTAATGGAATTCTCCAGTAATTTGTGTTTTCACCGCGAGAGACAAAGGAGAGGGTCTAGCGTTTTTGCTAGGGGCTAAATTATGCAAAAACTCAATGACCCCGCTGGGCACTCGCCTTGATGCATATATTGAGGAAATCTGGCCCGCGGTCTGGCCCTTATTTTCCCACAGAGAATTCCAAACTGGCGTGTTTGATTTTCCAATTTTTGATTTATTCAAAGTTCATTTCGCTTCAGAGATTTTCAGATAAAAAGAAAACCCAAGTCCAATAATAATTTTTTTTTCTACAGAGACATCGCTCAATAAGGCTTCCTTCTATCAAGCTCCTGATTGGTCAATCAAGAGCTCTTCCTTTTTATCCTTACCCTTAACCCTAACGGAGGGACCGATAGCGAAATCTGACTGTACATAAAACCGAGTTCAAGCACCCCCCTCTTCCATAAAAACCCCATTGTTTCTTTCACTTCCTATAGAAATTCAAATTTCAAGTTGTCACAATGTAACAAAGCCACAGTGTCGTATCTACTGCTAGTATTTGCACTCTACTCAAGTTATAGCCCCTCAGAAAAGAACGAATTCTGTTTGCTCGCTACTTTTGCTACAGTATATTTAAATATGCTCACTTTCACTGCTGGTGGATTTTTCTTCACCGGCAATTGTTGCTAAGGAACTGAAAACGGAATGTTTAGATTGTCAGTTTTGTAACTTTTTTCTCAAATCTCTTCGCTGTGGACAACGCCAGAATACACACACACACACACGCGCAGTCGATCACACTACAGGCTACCTCAGAGGAGCTACAGTCAGCTTTCAGTACTTCTTCCCAGAGGATAGAAAAACAACACCTAGAACATGGGCTGCAACGGTTCTAAAAGCGCCGAGGTGACTGAAAACCAGAAGCCAGAGGAGCAACCAAAAGGTACTGTACTTCATTTACTGTAGTTACGGGTGATTTTGTTTATCGAGTTGTTTGACAAGGGAGATTTTCTTCCGGGGGAGGTGTACGTGTTTCTCACAGTACCGTGGTTTACCATTTTAAGAGCGTTTTTTGGATGACAGGCCTCGCTCAAATCGCTCTTATATTGGAAATTTTTCAATCAAGGTAGGATGACAGTGGTGTGTTGTTCCCGGTGTCAACCTTGTGTTCTGCAATTACAATAAAAAAAGATCCGATGTTTTCTTTACGATTTCATCGTCGATTATGATCATCTGAACATCAAGGAGGAAGATCTAGTGAACAAAGCGAACGAAATCTTCATGAATATGAATCCAGCAATCTTCAAGCGCTCTTGGATCAATACTGGGCTGATCAAGGAGGAAGAATTCGAAGGAGCTGTTAAAGATTTTGAGGACTTGGATGTTTTGGAAAGTTTGCTGGAGAAAGAAGACGAGGAAGAGCTGGTCGAGCATTTTCTGGCGCTTCAAATCGATAAAACACGAGCCGCGACCCCGATGGAGATTGAAGAGGAACCTCAAGTTCAAGAGATAGAGAGTGCCGACACTGCGAATGATTCGACTTCAAAATGGCCAGAAAAACAGTCGAAGATTTCAAAATTTTTAAATAAATGATTCACTGTAAGTCTGAAAATTTTTTGATTATTAATAAAAATCTTCGAAAACACTCTTAAACTGGAATTTTGGCAGATGACAACATTTTCAAAATATACGCAAAAACGCTCTTAAAGTGGGCGCTCTTAAAACGGAAAACCACGGTACATAAGTTGGATAACTAATTGCGTTTATCGTATTCGCGAGCGGGAATACAAATAGTGAGCGACGAACGTTGTTAAAAAGAGCAAGTTTTATTGTGGTGTCTCTGAGTAAAAAGTAGTGTTGTGTGTGTGTGAACTGTGTCAGTGAGAAATAAGATCGTTTATATATGGTTTTCATAAACCGTGGTGAGTGACTTTTTCGTGAGTCGTGAGTTGATCCTAGTCCGTGGTGAACTGTGCTTTCGCGGTTGGCGGCGGAGCGTTTGCGCGTGGTGAAATGCGCTTCGCGAGTCGTGAATAGCGCTTTGCGGGTCGTGAACTGCGCGCGGCGCGGCGCGGTGAACTCAAGTGGCGGATGACTAATGAGAAACACTACATACCGTGGTTTACCATTTTAAGAGCGTTTTTTGGATGACAGGCCTCGCTCAAATCGCTCTTATATTGGAAATTTTTCAATCAAGGTAGGATGACAGTGGTGTGTTGTTCCCGGTGTCAACCTTGTGTTCTGCAATTACAATAAAAAAGATCCGATGTTTTCTTTACGATTTCATCGTCGATTATGATCATCTGAACATCAAGGAGGAAGATCTAGTGAACAAAGCGAACGAAATCTTCATGAATATGAATCCAGCAATCTTCAAGCGCTCTTGGATCAATACTGGGCTGATCAAGGAGGAAGAATTCGAAGGAGCTGTTAAAGATTTTGAGGACTTGGATGTTTTGGAAAGTTTGCTGGAGAAAGAAGACGAGGAAGAGCTGGTCGAGCATTTTCTGGCGCTTCAAATCGATAAAACACGAGCCGCGACCCCGATGGAGATTGAAGAGGAACCTCAAGTTCAAGAGATAGAGAGTGCCGACACTGCGAATGATTCGACTTCAAAATGGCCAGAAAAACAGTCGAAGATTTCAAAATTTTTAAATAAATGATTCACTGTAAGTCTGAAAATTTTTTGATTATTAATAAAAATCTTCGAAAACACTCTTAAACTGGAATTTTGGCAGATGACAACATTTTCAAAATATACGCAAAAACGCTCTTAAAGTGGGCGCTCTTAAAACGGAAAACCACGGTAATTCCTCCTCCATTTATTTTTAGATCGTTTGTCTTTCTGGCAGAGGAATGTCCTGTGTTTGTGAGTCCAAGATTTCATCAAGGATGTTTTGTCCATAAGCAGTAATTGTGGCGAAAGGATCGTTTTGGTTGACGGGAGAGTCAACGAGCGGCTGTTGAGCTGGGCCGACCGGAACATCATTTACTTCTTCGATGAACTGTATTTCTGAATAAGCCGAGGTGTTTGTTCGTGAGTCTCTCAACCCAAGGTGCTTCAGGTGTTCGTGAATTATGAAGGTGACCTCAGATTTCAGAATTCGTAGATCGGAAATTTCGATATTTTCAAGTCTTCTCCAAACAGACCTTTGTTTTGCCCATTTCCTTGCATATTCGGAGACAATTGAATTTCTTGTTTCCGGATTTGCTCCTTGGGCAGTAAGTATTAGGCATTTGCAGGAAAAGATAAGGAGACACTTCAGGTTACTGTCGATCGTGCTGAGATTGAGCGATTTTTGAGTCAAGATTTGGAACCAATTTGTCTTTTCCTTGATAGATACTTCGATTTCTTCGAGAAGCTCTCTGATTACTAGAGTTTTCTCACAGTCGATTTCTTCCACAATTGGTATTTTTATTCCCATGACAAAATTGAGCGCGAATTGTTGGTATCTTCGTTTTATGCAGCATCTCTGAAGGTGGAAAATATCTGTTTCAAGGTTAGTCGGCATTTCTCTTCTGCTTAGCAATTTACATGATAGAAACACTTTTTCTTTTAATTACTTCCGGACTTCTCTTTTGCCACTTGAAACACGGATAAGTGTGATCGTAGGAACTGTGACTAGCGTGGTTGATCTGTTGAGCTTCTTGTCTCTTCTTGTAAAGTCATTTTTCGATTTGGCTTGTTTCAGTCGGTGCATTTCCATTTTCACGTTGGGGGAATGTGACAGGGATGTGACGACGGGTCCCTTTTGTCCTGGCGCGGGAGATTTCGAGTGTTGCAGCGCGCGGGGATGTTTTTTTCTGTTTGAACAGCCATTTTCATCGATTTGGATTCTCGACTGCGAGCTCGAGCAGGAGCTTTTTGAAAAACCAAGTGAGCTATTGAACATTTGCGAGCAAACGAGCAGTTTACATTTCTTCTCTTCCCCCTTTTAGAACAAGGAGATTCGCATCGTTCCATTTGAGCTGGGAGAATGCGGCAAGAACATATTTTCGAATAAGGTGATTGGCAACTGCACACATTGCCAACATCTGCGGAAGTGCGGCGCAAGGTTAGGAATAGCGGTGCAAGTAGAGGGCGCCGATTACTTGAACATAATCAATTTTATGCGGTCGTAAATCCACAGTGGCCTGTATAAACTTTCACGGCGATTGAACGGAACTTGACTCTCTCTCTCTTTACGAGTGTGCATCATATCGCTAAAGTTGTGATCATTGTATTTGAGCATCGTTCGAACGGCAAACAGGGCTTTTATACTTCATTATTCGAGTTTCTATTGAGCAATTCATGAGTTGAACATCTCATCTTATTGTTTTTGTCTAGAGCGAAGACGATCTTTCCATATTGAATCCTTCTTATCTTTTTGATTGATCAGCAGTCGATCATTGACTGTACTAGCAGGAGCCTCTGAGCAAGGATTGTGAGCTTGAGCTTCTTCATCTTTCAGAGCAGATTTACTTGATTTAGCTTGTTTTGGATCTTGAACTTCAGTGTGTTTTGAACAAGGAGCTGATTTTTGAGCTTGGATTTTTTCTGGTTTGAAGTCGTTTTGAGGCTTGTCACTGCAGATCAATTGCGTTTTATCGTCCTCAGTTTTGACTTTGAGCGGTCGGATCAGACTAATATTTCTACGGTACTCTTTTCTGGTGAGCGGGCACTTCAGAATGTAGCTGTCTTTTGAAAGCCTTCTATGAACTTTGAACGGTCCAGACCAGGACAATCCAAGTTTTCCAGAGTAAGGATCCGGTTTCCAACAGAGAACATTAGTTCCAATCATTAAAACCGGACAGTTGTTCTTGTCACGTTTTAACAATGACTGGTATCGTTGGACTTGGAAGTTGAGCAGAGCAGGATGTAACTTCTTGAAATATGAATTTAACCCTCTAATGAATGGCTGGATATTTTCTGTGATCGGCTCTTTGAGCGAATAAGGAACATGAAATTGTCTTCCGTACACAACTTCATTACTTGATAAACCATCTAAGGAGCCTTTTGGAGTATTGTTGAGGAAGTACTGTACCATTGGCCAGTAGTCGGACCAAGTGCGATTTGTGGCGAGTTGGTTTTTGAGCTTTTGGTGAATTTCTCGGTGGATTCGTTCGCACTTTCCATTTGACTTACTGTAATAGGCACTTGTAGTACTGCGGCGTATCTCAAATCTGTCGAGGATGGCTGTTGTTTTTGGACCAAACTCTTTGCCATTATCAGAAATACAATTTTCGGATATTCCGTGTCTCAGTATTATTCGCAGAAGAGCCTTAGCAACAAGATTGTCTGACTTGTTTGAGAGCGGTTCTCCATCGAGGTAGCCACTTAAACTATCAACGACGGTGAGCAGGTATCGTTTTCCAGCTTGATCGGGGCGTCCATAGTCCACAAGATCGATATGAACTTTTTCGAAGGGAAGTTGAGCAAATTGGCGATCCTTTATGAGCGAAGGTCTCATTTGTTTGAACGGCTTGAGTCGAATGCATGTTTCACAGGAGCTTGTGATCGCGCGAACTTTCTGTTGTATGTTGCTTATAAAGAATTTTCGTAGCATCTGCAGGAGCTGTTGACTTCCGGCATGAGCTGTCAGGGAGTGCAGATAAGAGATAAATTCATCAGCAACAGCGCTTGGAAGAACCAATCTGTTATTTGAATAAAGAACATCATTTTTGAGCATAAGTCTTTTCGGTGACTTGTTCAGCTTCGCTTTCACTCGTAGATTTCTTGTAACTGAGCATGCGTCTTGAGCAGTTGCCATTTCCTCTGCTGTAAATGATCGGTTTTCGAACGAGAAGATAACATCACTTGTTGTTAACGTTGACAATGCAAAGATTGTTTCATCAACGTCGAAGAAGTTTTCGGAGTCTCTCTCAAGGTCAGAGCTTTTTGACTTTGGTAAACGGCTGAAGAAATCTGCAGAGGCCATTTCAGGACTTGATCCGCTTTTGTGAATGATCGTGAAGTTAAAAGCGAGAAGATAATTATGTACATTACATAATTTTATGTCCAATTTCTGTTTTCGTGATTCCCGAAATAGATAGAGCAATGATTTATGGTCAACATAACAATCGAATTCGCAGTTGATCAGGTAGTACTCAAAAAATTGGATTCCCCAGCAGAGAGCGAAGAGTTCCTTGATTCTCATTGGTCGCTTGAGGTCGGGACCGGAAAGAGCTTTGCTAAAGTATCCAAGGGGAGCGAATCGATCGTTTTGAACTTGATTAAGTGTACCTCCGACTGCGTATCCAGATGAGTCGGTAACAAGGACGAGTTTACATCCGGGTTTGAAGTGCGCAAGAGTCGGCTCTTTCAGGAGTTCACTTTTTACTGTATCAAAAGCTTTCTGTTGGATGTCGGACCACTCGAATTTCGCTTTTGCTGATGTCAGACGATAAAGCGGGGACAGGATTTCACTTCCGCGTTTGATGAATTTTACATTAAAGTTAACCATGCCCAAATATCTCTTCAGTTCAGCTTTATCTGTCGGTGGTTTCATCTTTTCGATCGCTTCAAGATGTTTTCGGAGCGGTTTGATACCATCAGCAGTGATTCTGTGACCAAGAAAATCCAATTCTGTACTGGCAAGCTTACATTTCGCGGCATTAAGGACAAGCCCATGTTCGTAGCAAGTTTTGAAGACAAATTCTAGTGCTTCTAGATGGTTTTCCCAATTATTGTCAATCACGATCAAATCGTCCAAATAAAGCAGAATAGAATCATGTTGCATCAGCTTGTTCATAATTCGAGAGAAACAGGCTGGGGCATTGCATGATCCATAGAGCATCCGGTTAGCTTGGTAATGTCGGTTGTCGTAACTGAAGGCCATCTTGTGGGCATCAGCTTCATGAATGAGCACTTGCCAATATCCACGAAAGAAATCGACTGAACTAATGTAGCATTCTTTACCAGTGAGTTTCTTTCCAATGGACGTAAAAACACTTTGCATACTCGGCAATGGAAAGCGATCTTTCACCAACAGCTCATTGATCATTCGCGCATCCAAGGAAACTCTAATTGAATCATCGTTTTTACGTAGTATAATGAGCGGAATATTAAACGCTGATTGTGTTTCTTGAATGACAGTGAGCTGCTTCCAGTTTTCCATCTGATTACTGACTTTTGGAACTAGGTGTATTGGAATTTTCCGAGGTGGTTGGTGTGCCGATTTCGTTTCGTCATACAGTGGGAGCGAATATCTGAAACCAAAGAGTCGACCAAGATCGTTTGTGTCCATGTTGAAGGAGAGTCGCCATTTGTGAGTTAAAGTTTCGAGCTGTTTCTTCTGTGTTGGATCAGCTGAGCCATAAGATCCAATTTGGGGAACAAAGTTTATTTGATAAGCTTTTTCCGATCGTAGTTTTACGAATTTTTCGTACTCTTCTTTTTCACGACCAGTTTCTTTATCAATTTCGATCAAACCAGTTAGGAACATATCAGAGGAATTTGGATCAATTGTTGGAATAACCTTATTTTTGAGCGTAATTGAGTTTTCTTCGATTGTTATTCCTTTAAGGATATCCATCCCCAAGATGATCGGGCAAGATAGGTTTTGAACGATGAGCGGGTCCAACTTCAATTTAAGTGGCGAGGAGCTGGTTTCAAATTTGGCGTCGATTGGGGAGCTGAGCGTTTTCACATTGACGATTTCTGAGTTCGCACACTTGAGCTTTATTGAAGATGGGATTTGTTTGTTAATAGTAGACGGAAGGAGATCTAGGACGTCTGAGCGTAAACATGTCCTACTTGCGCCACTATCGATAAGGCAGGGAAATTTTAGTCCGTTGAGCTGAATGTTGACGAATTTAAGGGAGGCCGGTGCGAAAAGAGCACTTTCGCAAGTTTCAATGACTTTTGATAGTCATGCCTCTTTCTTGATAATCTTCTCGACTTCTTCTGGGACTGTTTCTGAATGGAGGTATTTGCATTTTTCGCCAAATCGGCATCGACCATTTCGAACAAAGGCGATGCAGTGTCCTTGGAGCTTGTCAGTAGGGATTCTCGGTCGTGTTTTCCGTTTTTTCTCTTTCACAGGTTCTTTGGCAGAAGCGACTATTTCTTTCAGCTGAGAGCAGAGCTGCGCCATTTCAGATTCTTTTCCATTATTTGAGCATTCAGCGGCGAAGATGTTTTCTCGTTTGTAGAAGCTACGTTCTAGTTCCATGGCACGTTGAGCGATATTTTGAAGATTGAGCAGAGATTTTTCTCGTCGTAGCAATTCGGCAAGTCGCGGATCCTGGCATTCGATAAATCGGTCACAAATAATTGACTCATCTGCAGCGTCAAGTACCAGCTTTCCGTATCCCTTTTTGAAGTATGCTTGAAGCTTCGTTACTGCCATTTGCTGAGTCTCTTGGCCTCTCTGGAACGAAGTGTAGAGATATTTAAAGTGTTCTTTATCTTTGCCGAGAACTTGGATGAGCTTTGTTTTGAAACTTTCCCAGTTCTTCTTCTCTTCTTCTGTAATGGCTTCAATCAAAGAGGTTCCACTTTCTTCCATAAGAATTTGAGATAGAGCGACGCTTATAAGATCTGCATCTGAAATTTTCGAGCATTTTCCATAGAGTTCCATGTTGACGATCCAATTTTCAACTGGTAGTTGCGAGTCGAACTTCGGGGTTTTCATATTTATTTGTCCAAAGGGCTTTGATTGATCCGGTGATGCTTCCTTCTTCTTCTGAGCAGGATCTGGTTTAGGAGCATTTTCGGTTTTTGGAGCAGAACCAGCTGGTTTAGAGTCAGAGTTTGGTGGTTGGAACTTTGTTTCCTTCTTTTCAGACTCCTCAATTCGAGCAAGAATTGAGTTCAGGTTATCCACAACAACGATTTCGTTGATTTTAGCTATATCAATTTTATGATCCGCCCGGGCAGTCTTCTGAACTGCTTCTTGAATGTTGTTCACATCGAAATCCGGATCATATTCAAGCTTTTGGCCCGTTTTTCGAAAGAAATATTTCTTATCCATCGTGTCAAACAAGTCAGGCTGAATATCGAGCAAATTCAGGACACATCCAGACTTGTCAAATCGAGGAATAGGGAGCGGGTATTTTCGCCTCGGACTTTTGTCATAGATAAGCATAATTTCTTTCGCAGTCAAATCGACTACGAACTTATAATAAAGTTCTCCCATGACACCGTTAAAATGGGCAAATGGTGTAACCTGTGATAACTTGAGTCAGCTCTTCGATAACCACGGTCTGTAGAGCGTCAGGATAATTTCAGCAGGAATTCTCTGTCTCTAGCTGGATTGTAGTTCCGTTTTCTTCAGTCACCAAAATATGTACGTGTTTCTCACAGTACATAAGTTGGATAACTAATTGCGTTTATCGTATTCGCGAGCGGGAATACAAATAGTGAGCGACGAACGTTGTTAAAAAGAGCAAGTTTTATTGTGGTGTCTCTGAGTAAAAAGTAGTGTTGTGTGTGTGTGAACTGTGTCAGTGAGAAATAAGATCGTTTATATATGGTTTTCATAAACCGTGGTGAGTGACTTTTTCGTGAGTCGTGAGTTGATCCTAGTCCGTGGTGAACTGTGCTTTCGCGGTTGGCGGCGGAGCGTTTGCGCGTGGTGAAATGCGCTTCGCGAGTCGTGAATAGCGCTTTGCGGGTCGTGAACTGCGCGCGGCGCGGCGCGGTGAACTCAAGTGGCGGATGACTAATGAGAAACACTACAGAGGTCAACATCAGATAACAGGCTTGTTAGTTCGTAGGAGAATCAATATTTAACGGGATAATACCCGGTAGATACTGTACTACGAAGTTGAACTTTGAAATCAAGGAAGAGAACCATTGATCCAGGTCTTTTGCCAAAGCTTAGCTGTGAGTTGAACTCTTACTACAGTGACGTACAGACAGTATGACCAGGCTTTAGTTTGCCCTATCAATTTAGCGAAATGAGTGAACTTATTTGCGCACTAGCCAACACTTCTATTTCAAAGTTCAAGTGTATTTGACCAACCTATTTTGCTATCCACCTTCTTTCAGCTATTTCTCACGTGACTATCCATACGGCCATCTATACAAGCAGACCATTCATTATTCATTTCAGAACGCTCATTTTAGTACTCGGAATGAAAAGTGCTTTCTTTCGATTTAAATAAACAGTGGATCTTTTAGCTGAAGAAGCTGCACCAGCTGAGCCTGAAGCGATTTAAGTAAAGCCCGAGGAACCCGCCGCTGAGGAGGAAGAAGAGGCACCAGCACCAGCTGCCTCTCCTGAGCCAACGGAAGCCACCCCTGAGGCTGAGGCTGAGCCAGAAAAGGAAGCAACTCCTGAGGCCGAGGAAGCCCCAGCCAAGGAAGACTCCCCAGCACCCGCCAAAGAGGCCCCTGCAGAGGAGGAAGCCGCCCCAGAAGCCGCAGAAGAGCCAGCCCAGGAGGAAAGCAATGATGAATAAAGAAAAGACTCGGAAAACGTGAAAGCCAGACGTGAAAACTACTCGTAAAATATTTTTCAATGTAAGTCCAAAAATCCTTCATTTGTCATTCTAACAGTCGCCTTTTCAGATATTCCCGCAAACCAGAAACCAAGAAAACATCAGAAAAAATTGTCACTGACTCGGAAAATTTTGTGCCTTCCTCCCTTTCTCCATTTCTCTATCTTTTTATCACCTCTTTGCTCGCACTTTCTTAGCTAATCAAAACTGTATCAACAACATTTTTATATAAATAAAAAAATAGACTACAAACCTCCGTTTACGAAAATAATATATATATTGTCAATATTGATAAATAAATAAATACAGTAAGAATGAAGCAAGAAAAAGAGGATCAGTAGACGACATGGCGTGAGTTTCTGACGGGAGTGCTTCTTCTTGGCATTCTTGGCTGACCGCTTCGAAGTTGAGCTCGTTTTTTCTCGCGGTGAAGTTGGGTAAAGGATTTTGTCAACCAATCGAGTCCGTGTTCCAGGCCATCGCCGGTGATTGCACAGGAGGGTTGAACAAGCCAATTTACGTTTTGCATCGTGTCGAGGCCGAGAAACTCTGGCAAATCTTCTGGCGGCACTGCGTTTTTCGCGTCCTAGAAAGTTTGAGGGATGATTCTAGAGTGGTTTTGGGTACCTGTTTGTTGGCAAAGACGAGTACTTGGCTACAGTCTTTCATCGCGCGATCGTTCATAATTTTTATGAACTCTTTTCGAGCAACATCGTAACGTTCTTCGTCGGAAGAGTCGAATACAAAGATCACTCCCTAAAAGATATTTCTCAAATCAAGAAAAACTGCGTAAATGAAGTTTTCTTTATAAAAAGGAAATCATTCATTATCCAAGTCTTTCTTCCAAACAAAGGATTCTTTCAAGGAATCTTTCCAAAAAGGATTCCAAACTCTTTCTTTTACGTACTTTAGCAGATGTTAGCGCCATCTTGCCTCTTACCTACCTCGATCAAGATAAGATTTTAAACCGCTTCAAGCACCTGACTTGCTTTAAATTCCAGACTCTCTTTTCAACTCATAGGAGAGAAATTCTCTCTCAGAGAAAATTTGTCTATGAATGTAAAACTTGTAATACTTCTTCCTTTGTGAAGTCCTTTCTTACCTGAGTTCCAGGATAATAATGTCGCCAAAGTCGTCTGAGATGTTTCTTTCCGCCCAGATCCCAAATGTTCATCGAGATTTGACCGTTTTGATTGGAGAACTCTTCAACGTTGAATCCGATCGTCGGCTCGGTCTTATACGTTTCATACATCTTCAGTCGGTAAAGAATCGTCGTTTTGCCGGACTCGTCGAGGCCGACCATCAAAACCCGGAACTTGTTCTTGCCTTTTTTGCTCAGCGTTTTTGCCGAAATGTTGCCCATTTTAGTTTCTATAAAAAAATTTAAAAAAGAAAACTTCAATGACGGTTTTACGGTTTGATTTAGTTTGCTCTGACCTGTAAGTCAGCTAAAACTCAACTGAGGAGTTGCTCGTTTTATCTTTCACAACAATCAGATGTTCTAGAGATCAAAAACGAAGCAAAACTCACAAAATTCATCAATGAACTCATATTGTTGAAATATGTTTCAAATATCTATATTTGATATCAAGGAAGAGAGCCTCAAAATACCAGTTTGATTTCCGAAATTAATCAAAATAAGGGTTAAACCAATTTATGGAACTGATTTAATTTCCCGGGTTTTGATTGGTCGGTAGGCCAAATACAGCAATTTTATTGGTAATCCAAAATCCCGTTCCACAAATTGGTTGAGTCCGAAAATAGAGTGAATTTTGTAAGGGAGAATATCCCTTACAATAGTGTCTGAGTGGAGAGAGCAGTATCCTGTTCTCAGTAACAGAGACATACCCGGTGTTTGGTCGCCGGAGGGCGCTAATTGAGTGAAAATGCTAGGCAAGAGTTGCTCTTGCCCGTAGCAAATGCCTGTGATCATTTCTGGTTACTTCCGGTAACTTCCGGTTCACTTCCGGTGACGTCAGGTGACTTCCGGTTCACTTCCGGTTCACCTCTAAATCATTGCTATAAGTGTACATCCATTCATATACCTTACAAGAGCATAACTGAGCTAATGCTCACTTGAAACAGCGCCACCTGGTGCATGCTCTCGCGCCCCACCTAGTGTCAGTTCTCGAGCGCCACCTAGTTGACACTCAGGAATAGCTCTCTAGTGACCTCTAGTGGTGGCTCAGTTGCGCCACCTATGGTGAGCACAAAGCTTGAGATCTCATCCTGATTCATCAGTGACTGAGGATCGACTTCATTCGATGAAGGTCCTGGAACATTCTGGACACCCTTAATCACTATGACTCACGATTACGAAGGATGACATCATTTGGAGAATCTACTCGAATATTCCATCACTGTTCTAAGAAGCTTGAAGATTCATCTATCCCGATCAAGGAGCTTCTCGACTGTTCTTATTTTCCCTTTTCTGTACTATATAAAGCGTGCACCTTGCTGTTAGTTCATTATTATAATTCAGTAGAATAAAACCGACAAAAAACAACTTGACTCTCTTTTATCCAGCAGAAACAAGCAGTACCCGAAGAAGCGACAGCAAGTGCAGCACCAACCACTAGGACTCATAGAGTACTAGTGGACTAGAGAGACCCCCCAGAGATTCTTCTCCTTTATAAATTTATATTTTCAGTTATTATTAGACAATTGCAAGTTTCTTTTTGTTACGTAACGGATCGTTCGATGGGTACAAAATTTCGAAAGAAAGGTGTGCATTCCTGCCCCCTCTGCATTTTCTGTCACTTATTTTGTGAACATTGACCCTGACTCTCAGGCGTTTATCTTCTCATGAGAAGACTTCCAGATTGTGGGCGAAGACCTGTTGTATTTTATTTTTCTTTTCTCGTCAACGCGTGTTTCAGGTTCCGCCACGGTCTCAGCTAATCAGAAAAAACTCGGAACCTACCTTCGCTTCATAAATGGGAGGGCGCAGCGCTTAATCAACTCATTTTTAATTAACTTTCAACTTTTTCCAAGAAACACTTTCTTTCGATTTTATAGAGATGGGTTTTCCGGTCGATGTTCCTATGGACCATAGGCTATGGTAAGAAAAGATGCTCTAACTTGGCCTCTATCAGTCATTTCAGCCAAGTACGATGGAAGATTTAGTAGCAGGGATCAATATGTTGATTGCAAAAGATGCTTCGCCAGAAGTTATGGTCCAGTACTTTCAGAATTACAAGAATGATGATTGGAAGAAATATGCAATGTGGGATCCTTACAGGTAGTTTTCGATCGATTACAGTACTGCAAACAGCTCTGAAAGGGTTCAATTTACAAATTTATTGGCGTTCTGCCTTATAAAATCCATCAAAAAAGGCATATTTTTGAAGATAAATATGACTTTGTTGAGTTGAAATCTCAAAATTAAACTTCAAACTCAAAGAATTCTAGATACACTCGAAATTTAATCGAAGAAGTCGACGGAAAATACTCATTGATCCTCCTCTGCTGGCCCGAATCCAACGCCAGCGCCATCCACGACCACCCAAACTCCGACTGCATCATGAAGTGCCTCTCTGGAACTGTCAAAGAAACCCGCTTCGCCTGGCCAGAAAAGAAGAAAACGAAAATGACGGAAACTGGCTACACTGTAGGAACAGAGGGAGATGTTATTCACATAAATGGTGAGTTGAATTCTGGATCAGACTGGACCACAAGGGGCCTGGAGGGATCACCTGACCAAGTTAACAATTTCCACTTTGGAGGTGGGGCAGGAGGCTCGGCTCGCAGCCTATTGCGTAATCGTAATAATGCAACATTATGCATTTCCGTGAGATAAACTCACATGGCCGAAAACATCACGTGGAAGCATAATCGCTACGGGGAAATTTGCGTCACAAATAACATTTTGGAATAAAAACATCTTGCTCAATCATTTTTGATGGGTGGGGCGGATGAGTTCAAATCGACCTCATAATAATTTAGACGGAAGAAATAAATCATTAAAATAAAATTACTCAAAAAGGGCGGGGCGTCACGTGTTGTCCAAAAATCAAAGATTGTTTCAGATGACCTGGGACTCCACCGCGTTGAAAATCCTTCATCTTCAGAAGGCGCTGTTACTCTCCACTTCTACTTTCCCTGCATTCATGAATGTCTTGTTTTCGACGAAGAAACTGGCAAGGCTCGACGAGTAAAGATGACCTACACTTCCATCCGAGGCGTCAAGCAGACTCCACAACAGAAGTTTCTCCCGTCGTCCTATGCCCATTTTTTTGAGGAATTGTCCAACTTTGTTAATTTGAACAACTGTCTGGTCAGCGATATTGGCAAGAGCGGAGCCAGTGGTGGTTTGTTCGCGGTGCTTCATCGCGCCGAAAACCCTCTCGCAGAAGCGGTTCGACGTTTCGTACTTTCCTTTGAGAGTAAGAGAGTTCATCTGATTGAAATCTTTGAGAAGCTTCTTCTTTGCATCTGTCAGACAGTGTCGAATTGTTCCATTAAGATCAGCTCGAAGTTCGGTAGTTCTGGGCATCTTTTGAATCTCGCGAAGTTTTCTATAAATTCAATTATTAATCGTGTTTTTTTTTTATTTTGAAGAATAAATTGGGGACCCCCATTTGGGGTACCCAAAAAATTTTTTTTTATTGAAGAATAATTGGGGTACCCAAAAATTTTTTTTATTGAACAATAATTGGGTTACCCAAAAATTATTTTAGAAGAATAAATTGGGGGTCCCAAAAATAGCGACTCACTTGAAGTATTTGGAGTCCTTGTATTCTTCGACGACCAGATCAACAAGCTTGTCGTAGGGCTCATCTGATTCGACTGGCTTGTCCAAAGTATCCAAACATGATTTCATTTGAGTGCAAACGTCTTCGATCGTGCTCTCGATTCTCTCAGATGCTCTGAGAACCGGACCTGAGAACGAAGCCCAAATCCAAGGAGTCATTGAGGTGACAAGAATTGCGAGCTGTTTGTCCTCTAGAAGATGTAGAAGTTCTGATCCCCTTTTGCTCTCAGGAAAATTGCGAAGAACGGCCAAAGTCACGTCCCTATAGAGCAAGAGCGCCTCTGCATTTGTCTTAGAACTTCCGATTCTCGATCCCATATCTGTGCAAAACGGCTTCTTCGACGAGTTTTCTCCAAGCTTCTCATTTAAGTCATCAAGCCTAAAAGAAACCATAAGAAAACGAAAAAAATTTACATGTAACAACTGCAATGAGTACCGGAAATCCCTAGATTTTAGCATCGAACCACTTGGTTTTGTCACCTTATGCACAAAGGTTCGAACCTAACATGGGGCGCAATGTCAAGAGAGTCCGAACGCATGGAAGGAAGGCTAGTTCAGCCGCCGCGCTCGGCGCATAATTTCCCACTGCGTCCTCAGTTTCAGTCAGTTTTCGAGACATTTCAGAGGAAATAGGGCTCCCCCGGTTTTCAAACTTACATATGTTCTCAAGAGAGGTCCTTTCTTGAACATATATAAAAATCAGAATTTAAAAAGGTCGGTTAGGGCTTCAAAAGTCAGAGAAACCATTTTTTTGGCCGCGCTTGCCTCACAAAGCACTACCGCGCCGCCACCAAGACTCCATCAACGGGACATTTGAAAGCCTTCTAGTTCCTCCCCGGTCTTCAAAATTTAACAGACTTAAGAAAAATGTCTGTTCTTTGACATACAGTTTTTTTCCTCTTTTGTGGACCCCAAGTTTGTGGACATTTTTTCCATTTTAAGGCCTTTAAGTGGGACACTTTATAAAAGATGCTGTTCCAAGTTTGTGGACATTTTTTCGCGGAAAGAAATAAAAAAGACAATTTTTTTTGTGGTGAGATTAATTCTAGCTAATCAAGATCGAGTTGTTCATTGTTTACGAAAAAAAAAGAAAATTAAAGGTTGAACTAGAGACAAAGGGGCCTTTGTCAGTCTTTCAGGAGCATAAATGCAAAGTCTAGAAAACCATTCGGCGTACTCAAATCTCGAAAAAAAATTTTAATCGATTTCGATGGGACATTTTTTCGGAAGACGTTGCCCAAGTTTGTGGACATTTTTCGAAAATTTTGGGACAAAAAATGTCCACAAAAGAGGAAAAGAACTGTATCTGAAAATCAGAGATACAGAAGGTTGGTTGGATACATAGAGAGCAGGTTTTACCTGAATTTTCTAGAAAACTACACGTTTTTGATCAAAATTTAAGTTTTTGAGGTCAATTTATGAACAAGCGTCATCTTTTTTCATATATTCAGAGGTTTTTCACTGAAATCCTTTCAAATTACGCGAAATAGATTGCCCGGTTCACTTCCGGTTCACCTCTAAATCATTGCTATAAGTGTACATCCATTCATATACCTTACAAGAGCATAACTGAGCTAATGCTCACTTGAAACAGCGCCACCTGGTGCATGCTCTCGCGCCCCACCTAGTGTCAGCTCTCGAGCGCCACCTAGTTGACACTCAGGAATAGCTCTCTAGTGACCTCTAGTGGTGGCTCAGTTGCGCCACCTATGGTGAGCACAAAGCTTGAGATCTCATCCTGATTCATCAGTGACTGAGGATCGACTTCATTCGATGAAGGTCCTGGAACATTCTGGACACCCTTAATCACTATGACTCACGATTACGAAGGATGACATCATTTGGAGAATCTACTCGAATATTCCATCACTGTTCTAAGAAGCTTGAAGATTCATCTATCCCGATCAAGGAGCTTCTCGACTGTTCTTATTTTCCCTTTTCTGTACTATATAAAGCGTGCACCTTGCTGTTAGTTCATTATTATAATTCAGTAGAATAAAACCGACAAAAAACAACTTGACTCTCTTTTATCCAGCAGAAACAAGCAGTACCCGAAGAAGCGACAGCAAGTGCAGCACCAACCACTAGGACTCATAGAGTACTAGTGGACTAGAGAGACCCCCCAGAGATTCTTCTCCTTTATAAATTTATATTTTCAGTTATTATTAGACAATTGCAAGTTTCTTTTTGTTACGTAACGGATCGTTCGATGGGTACAAAATTTCGAAAGAAAGGTGTGCATTCCTGCCCCCTCTGCATTTTCTGTCACTTATTTTGTGAACATTGACCCTGACTCTCAGGCGTTTATCTTCTCATGAGAAGACTTCCAGATTGTGGGCGAAGACCTGTTGTATTTTATTTTTCTTTTCTCGTCAACGCGTGTTTCAGGTTCCGCCACGGTCTCAGCTAATCAGAAAAAAACTCGGAACCTACCTTCGCTTCATAAATGGGAGGGCGCAGCGCTTAATCAACTCATTTTTAATTAACTTTCAACTTTTTCCAAGAAACACTTTCTTTCGATTTTATAGAGATGGGTTTTCCGGTCGATGTTCCTATGGACCATAGGCTATGGTAAGAAAAGATGCTCTAACTTGGCCTCTATCAGTCATTTCAGCCAAGTACGATGGAAGATTTAGTAGCAGGGATCAATATGTTGATTGCAAAAGATGCTTCGCCAGAAGTTATGGTCCAGTACTTTCAGAATTACAAGAATGATGATTGGAAGAAATATGCAATGTGGGATCCTTACAGGTAGTTTTCGATCGATTACAGTACTGCAAACAGCTCTGAAAGGGTTCAATTTACAAATTTATTGGCGTTCTGCCTTATAAAATCCATCAAAAAAGGCATATTTTTGAAGATAAATATGACTTTGTTGAGTTGAAATCTCAAAATTAAACTTCAAACTCAAAGAATTCTAGATACACTCGAAATTTAATCGAAGAAGTCGACGGAAAATACTCATTGATCCTCCTCTGCTGGCCCGAATCCAACGCCAGCGCCATCCACGACCACCCAAACTCCGACTGCATCATGAAGTGCCTCTCTGGAACTGTCAAAGAAACCCGCTTCGCCTGGCCAGAAAAGAAGAAAACGAAAATGACGGAAACTGGCTACACTGTAGGAACAGAGGGAGATGTTATTCACATAAATGGTGAGTTGAATTCTGGATCAGACTGGACCACAAGGGGCCTGGAGGGATCACCTGACCAAGTTAACAATTTCCACTTTGGAGGTGGGGCAGGAGGCTCGGCTCGCAGCCTATTGCGTAATCGTAATAATGCAACATTATGCATTTCCGTGAGATAAACTCACATGGCCGAAAACATCACGTGGAAGCATAATCGCTACGGGGAAATTTGCGTCACAAATAACATTTTGGAATAAAAACATCTTGCTCAATCATTTTTGATGGGTGGGGCGGATGAGTTCAAATCGACCTCATAATAATTTAGACGGAAGAAATAAATCATTAAAATAAAATTACTCAAAAAGGGCGGGGCGTCACGTGTTGTCCAAAAATCAAAGATTGTTTCAGATGACCTGGGACTCCACCGCGTTGAAAATCCTTCATCTTCAGAAGGCGCTGTTACTCTCCACTTCTACTTTCCCTGCATTCATGAATGTCTTGTTTTCGACGAAGAAACTGGCAAGGCTCGACGAGTAAAGATGACCTACACTTCCATCCGAGGCGTCAAGCAGACTCCACAACAGAAGTTTCTCCCGTCGTCCTATGCCCATTTTTTTTGAGGAATTGTCCAACTTTGTTAATTTGAACAACTGTCTGGTCAGCGATATTGGCAAGAGCGGAGCCAGTGGTGGTTTGTTCGCGGTGCTTCATCGCGCCGAAAACCCTCTCGCAGAAGCGGTTCGACGTTTCGTACTTTCCTTTGAGAGTAAGAGAGTTCATCTGATTGAAATCTTTGAGAAGCTTCTTCTTTGCATCTATCAGACAGTGTCGAATTGTTCCATTAAGATCAGCTCGAAGTTCGGTAGTTCTGGGCATCTTTTGAATCTCGCGAAGTTTTCTATAAATTCAATTATTAATCGTGTTTTTTTTTTATTTTGAAGAATAAATTGGGGACCCCCATTTGGGGTACCCAAAAAATTTTTTTTTATTGAAGAATAATTGGGGTACCCAAAAATTTTTTTTATTGAACAATAATTGGGTTACCCAAAAATTATTTTAGAAGAATAAATTGGGGGTCCCAAAAATAGCGACTCACTTGAAGTATTTGGAGTCCTTGTATTCTTCGACGACCAGATCAACAAGCTTGTCGTAGGGCTCATCTGATTCGACTGGCTTGTCCAAAGTATCCAAACATGATTTCATTTGAGTGCAAACGTCTTCGATCGTGCTCTCGATTCTCTCAGATGCTCTGAGAACCGGACCTGAGAACGAAGCCCAAATCCAAGGAGTCATTGAGGTGACAAGAATTGCGAGCTGTTTGTCCTCTAGAAGATGTAGAAGTTCTGATCCCCTTTTGCTCTCAGGAAAATTGCGAAGAACGGCCAAAGTCACGTCCCTATAGAGCAAGAGCGCCTCTGCATTTGTCTTAGAACTTCCGATTCTCGATCCCATATCTGTGCAAAACGGCTTCTTCGACGAGTTTTCTCCAAGCTTCTCATTTAAGTCATCAAGCCTAAAAGAAACCATAAGAAAACGAAAAAAAATTTACATGTAACAACTGCAATGAGTACCGGAAATCCCTAGATTTTAGCATCGAACCACTTGGTTTTGTCACCTTATGCACAAAGGTTCGAACCTAACATGGGGCGCAATGTCAAGAGAGTCCGAACGCATGGAAGGAAGGCTAGTTCAGCCGCCGCGCTCGGCGCATAATTTCCCACTGCGTCCTCAGTTTCAGTCAGTTTTCGAGACATTTCAGAGGAAATAGGGCTCCCCGGTTTTCAAACTTACATATGTTCTCAAGAGAGGTCCTTTCTTGAACATATATAAAAATCAGAATTTAAAAAGGTCGGTTAGGGCTTCAAAAGTCAGAGAAACCATTTTTTGGCCGCGCTTGCCTCACAAAGCACTACCGCGCCGCCACCAAGACTCCATCAACGGGACATTTGAAAGCCTTCTAGTTCCTCCCCGGTCTTCAAAATTTAACAGACTTAAGAAAAATGTCTGTTCTTTGACATACAGTTTTTTCCTCTTTTGTGGACCCCAAGTTTGTGGACATTTTTTCCATTTTAAGGCCTTTAAGTGGGACACTTTATAAAAGATGCTGTTCCAAGTTTGTGGACATTTTTTCGCGGAAAGAAATAAAAAGACAATTTTTTGTGGTGAGATTAATTCTAGCTAATCAAGATCGAGTTGTTCATTGTTTACGAAAAAAAGAAAATTAAAGGTTGAACTAGAGACAAAGGGGCCTTTGTCAGTCTTTCAGGAGCATAAATGCAAAGTCTAGAAAACCATTCGGCGTACTCAAATCTCGAAAAAATTTTAATCGATTTCGATGGGACATTTTTCGGAAGACGTTGCCCAAGTTTGTGGACATTTTTCGAAAATTTTGGGACAAAAAATGTCCACAAAAGAGGAAAAGAACTGTATCTGAAAATCAGAGATACAGAAGGTTGGTTGGATACATAGAGAGCAGGTTTTACCTGAATTTTCTAGAAAACTACACGTTTTTGATCAAAATTTAAGTTTTTGAGGTCAATTTATGAACAAGCGTCATCTTTTTCATATATTCAGAGGTTTTTCACTGAAATCCTTTCAAATTACGCGAAATAGATTGCCATCATTTTGGGCGTGAAGCGCCTCGCCGCGCGCCGTTTCTCCGTGAGAATCCCTAATTATTGGTTTATTTCTATTGTAAAAATTTTTGTCTGTGAATTTTTCTAAACTCCGCAAATTTTTCCTCATCTCTACTGAATCCTCTTCTGTCGGATCATTTTCTACAAGTATGAATTTCTTATCATCAGAAAATTCTTTTAAAAGTGATTTTTCATATTGTTTCCGGTCAAGAATCACAATGACCGAATCCTTATCCCCAAGTACGAAAACTATGTCCTGATTGTTTTTTAGGAAATTTTTGATTTCCTTATTTGAACTATCTTGACCGAAACAGCAAGAAAGTTTTTCATGAAAAACAGAAATTTTGGATTTCAAATGAAATCGTGATAATGGTGTGAGAGCTTTAAAATCATCGTTCTTCTCTAAATGTTGTATTAAAGAATAAATTCACTTAGTAAATTCAGAGAATGACGACTCCCACCTGATGGTGCACGCCAACCTCTTTCGAGAATTGAAACAATGTTTTGAGGTATAGTTTTCTTTGAAAAATTTTTTATTTCAAATTTAAGTGGTCCTTTAGATGAATTAAATTTCTTTAATTTTTCTAATTTAAATTCCGCTTAAAATCTCTATCTTCATCTCTTATTCTAGCGCGATTTACTTGATCAATAATTATTTTGATTCTCTCTCTTTCACACGAGAAACCTTGATTTTCAAAAAATTTCGAAAGATTTTCATAAAATATTATCCGCTTCTCTTCAACCTTTTTAGAACATTTTTCTAATTCTCTTAAAAGTATTTTATGTCTCTCTCTATTAATCCTAGATTTTCCCCAATTACAAAATTTTATAACTGATGCTGGAACTCTAATAAAAGTAGGCTTTAAATCATTTTCTGCACAGTCGCTTACGAATTCATGTGCTTTTCTGGCCCTATGCAGTCGACTTGCATGGTTTTCCTAGTTTCTCAAAAGTTGACGTCGTGTTCCTTAAATCGCGTGATTGATAAATGACATCGTGTAGATAAATGTAGGAGTTTATTGCAATTTGCTGAATGGCACTTTTTTCACACTTTGGTGCCGATTTACGCCATCTTCTGGTGAAGTTAGACTTTTCGTGTAAGCAGATAAAATGTTCCTTACACTTAGTTTAATAGATTTAGAGGGTTAAAAGAGGCTTTTTCGGACCTTAAATTTTCAAGCGCGTGGCCTATCTATAATATATTTAATATAATATTTTTTTAAAGTTTAAAATTTTTTCTTTTTTCTTTTTTTTTACCCTTCATTCGTGTGTGGTCTTTTGTTTTTTATTGTAAAAATTCTTATTCTTTTGCACCATCAACTAGACAAAACATCACCAAAATAGTTTTTATTTAGTTCCGCCATTGCTTTGGTCAAAAGTGGGAAAGCGGTGAGGACATTTTCGGCTAAGACAACAGCGCCAAGGGGCGGCCAAAAGATGTCACAGGGGGTAGAGACATCTTTTTTTTCCCGGGCAATGCTTTACTTTCATCGGTATAACGGCATCCTGAAAAGTAGGGCACGGCGGGGTACTGGGCGAGCGAGGCGCGCCGCGCCAATTTCATTTTCTACCCTTAAGAGGCATCCATATTCAAAAGGAGAAAAAAAAGCAATTGAAAAAACAATTAATTTTTCCAGAAGTCATTTCCGGTTCCCTCCTTAAAAAACTATTCGGGTATTCAGAATACCGTATTCTCCTTTTGCCGGAAAAAAACCCCGAAATCGCGGCACTCGAACGGTCATATCCAAAACGATTTAGAAATGTCCTTTTTACGTCTATTAATAGGTTTTATAAAAGGGTTCTTTTTTTTCATTTTTGGTCATTGGAGAGAATTATGTTGTTTTATTGATCCTTCTTTATGATTCATAGACTATGAACAAATGCAAAGGATTTATCAATCATTTATTTTGATAAGAGTAATTGGTACTGGGAGTACCAAATTGGTACTGGTTGTACCAATTGGTACTGGGAGTCCCCGGTAGCCGAATTTTTGCCAACTTCTTACTCTTGCAAAAAATATTAAAATCTGAGCACAAGCAAGAAACATATCATTAATTCTTGCTTGGATCGCAGTGAGTCAGTTGTAAAATTTTTACAGAGTGTGAAGGAATGCGGCTTCGCACATCGAATCCCACTATGGGTAGCGACACGATAAAGTGACGTACCCACTAGAGGCTTAGTAAGATTTATCTAGACAAGTTTTTATTAAAGCATCCAATCCTAAAGAATTCAGTTGATTTAAGGCGCGATTGACCATCAAATCCTCCAAGGACCCATAATCGATTTTTGTATGTCATTGCAACAACACCAGAGCGTCTTGTTTGCATTGGTTGAATCTTAAAAAAATTTTAGTCTTTAGCGATAAATATTACGATAGCGTCTTTCTCTAAGTAAAAAAAGATAATAACATTTTCAAACGGAAGGCTCTTGGGGTAAGGGTCAGCTCGAATAACAACCAGTTTAATCCCCTAAAAGAGTGATCGAGGTCGAAATTGAAAGCTAAGAAGTAAGATCTATTGAGCTCTCGCTTCGAGACTACAACGAAAATCTAGAACCTCCGATTGCCGCCAAAATGACCATTTTAGGTAAGTTAGCGATCTCTGACGAAAAGCTTTGTAAAAAATTTTTTTGAAATTCGAAATTTCGGCAAATATAGAAAAGTCAAAATTTTTTGTACCACAAGTAAAATAAGGGTGTAACTAACGTGGTTTTCCATCTTAAGAGCGCACAACATAAGAGCGTGTATACTTGTGCTAGCTTGTTTATTTAGTAAAAGAAAGAATAGTAGAATGAGTTGCAGATAGGATATGCTAAGGGTCCACGCTCAATAATTGTTGTAATAAACAACCGTTTTCACCCTTTTTCCAAAAAAATTATTAAAGTTGAGAAATAATGAGGCCGCAAAGTAAGCAAAAATGCAAAATCACCCAAGATCGCGCGTTTTTTAAAATAAAAAATTGTAAAAATAAGTTATTTTGTATTGT